TTTTTTTTTCTTCTTTTCCTTTCTTTCTTTAAAACCTATTTATCAATATTTTAAAAAACAAAAAGATTTTTTGATTATTCAATAAACAAAAGATGAAAATTGTTTTTGCTTTTTTGTTTAATGTTTCATTGAGGCCTTCATACATCATTGTTTTTTGACTTTCTCGCCACAGAGTAGAGAGAAAGTTATGTAATGCTACAGGGGGAAAAATTAATTATTGAAAAACTGAAAAACTAAATGCTGGGCTCTAGTAATGAAAAAGTGGATAAATCCAATTGCTAAAATTTAATTTATTTACAGATTCTCATCCAATATGCAAAGTTATATTTGTGAATTTTTCTGCCCCCTAATTGTCCAGTAAGAAAGCTTGAAAAAAACAAACTTTTTTCCCCTTTAATGCAAAAATGTCTGTCCTCGAAAAGCCCGCCACTGGTTATAGTGCAATTTTTATAAAGCTACGCCTTAAAGCCAGTCTTCACAGGGGCATTGTTGAGCATTTCGCAGCTTTCTCAGTCATGGCGTTACATGTCGTGGCCATATCAAGAAGTAATTGATACAATTGCAATCATGTGACTTCTAGCAACATGACCGTTTTTTACCACAAATAGTTTATAATTATAACTAAAGGATTTTTTAAATGAAATTTAATTCAATGTGATTTTGAAATTCTCATCTTGTCTCCATGACTATATTTTCTATACTTAAAACATATTATCTTGATTGCTATTGGTAATATTTGTACATGTACGTGTGTTATCGTAGTTGATTTCAAGTGGTAATTATTGAATAGAATATACATTCTAGCTTTTTAATTGCTATTAATGTACATCTGAAGAAACTAGTATAGAAAAGTAGAACTTGCTCAATGTGGAATGTGTATAATGCCGAAATCTGTCTAATATGATCCTAAATCGCGGTCCAGTCAAACATAAACTAAACAGTATTACATTGCATAATGTGGAATCTTGTTTAATACAGAAAAATATACTGGTCCCTTAAAATTCCGCATTCAACAAGTTTTACTATATTACTAAATCAATTTTGGTTTCAAATTCTATAATTTTGATTTAATAATTATACTACTGAAGAAAATCTGAAATTGACAATGGAATTTACTTTTTAGGCAACAGGCAGTTTGCCTATAACTGTGCGTCACATTGAAAGCATGATACGCATGGCTGAAGCCCATGCTCGCATGCATTTAAGGGATTATGTTCAAGAAGATGATGTAAATATGGCAATCCGAATGATGTTGGAAAGTTTTGTGGAAACACAAAAATACAGTGTGATGAAAACTATGAGAACAGTAAGTTGCTTTCTGTTTTTGAATGTTGAATGTATGTATGTACATTGGAACCCTTTTCCTTTAGTTTTCTTACAAAAAAAACCAGTTACTAATGAAGATTTTGATTTCTTACAATACATTTGTTAAAGTTGCTTTTT